CACGTCCACGCCCCCCATCCTCACCCGCCAAGCACAGTATTTCTTCGGGACTTTTTTTCTCCGGAGGGGGGGGGGGGGGAACTTATAATTTTCGGGGGTTGGCGGACTAAAATCAACTGGGGGGAGGGCGGACACTGATAAAAGTATATATTTTCTAAATAAATTTCACTTCTTTCGGGGGAGGGGGCGGCGGTAGACGTTCTTCGGGGGGGGGGGACGCAGGACAAAATATATACTGTAACCAGTTTTCCGGTCTCCCAAAAGAAATTTTAAGTGTACTACCCCCGCCCCCCCCCCCCCCCCCCCCCCAATAATGTGTCTGAAAGAAACTGTGATACAATGTTACAATGGCGGTGAGCGTAAATTAAAGCTAAAAAACAATCTAGAGTTTATTTATAGACGACACCATATAAACCACGACAGGTGTACTTTACTTCTTGTATTTACAAAATGCATGTATTGGTGATTTTACTCCTAAAAATATTAGAAAACATAACTAACAGTAAAGTGGCTTTTTTACTCCTTTGTTAAGGACATGTTGACGGCCAAGGTGGAGAGGGATGTGCTACCAGTAATGGACGGCCAAAACTTCAGGTGTGTGCTGATCGAAAACTTGACCCCGGCAACCGTCTACCTGTTTTTGTGTCGTCGCTGTCAATCAATGGGGCGGAGCTTAAGGAGTGACCACGCCCAGTGTGTAACACTAAACTCAGGAGGGTGTCATATAACAGGTTAGTTTTATGTAATATTTAAAGGCTGGTGGGGGGAGGGGGGGGTATGTTTTCTACCAGTCCAATTATGCAACACAATTATAATCTTCTTAAAAGGCGTGTTAAATTACTGGCAGTGTTTCTTCCACACTTTTTTTCTCCGGTGGGCACTTGATATTTTCGAGGGGGGGGGGGGGGGACGAACTACATTTTCCGGGGGATGGACACTGGTTAAAGTATGTTTTCTGTATAAATTTCATTTTCGTTCGAAGAGATGCCTGGAAAAATCTATAAAAGAAAAAATAAAAGTATTTTGTAAAGTACAACTTTTGTATTCTATTATTAGCGTCAATTTTTATATTATACACTACGAGCTTATCATCGCTGTGCGTTTAAGTACAACATAAGACATGACACATATTTGTTTTATTTTTACAGAGTGAAAGTGAATAGACATATTTGTTATAATTATCGGGCAAACAATGTGTTTTCATTTTTCATAAAAGGAGACAACCGAGAAAATATTTGCTTGGTATTTATATTTTGCGGTTGTTTCCCTTAGATTGTCCTGAAGTACTGTTCAACCCAAACAATAAAAAGTTTATAAGCTGTTTTTTTAATAATTGCAGAGGCGTAGCTATGGGAGGGCGGGTGGGACGCCCGCCCCGGGCGCCGACCTAAAGGGGTCGCCAAATAGGATAGAAAAATTAAATAAATTTTGAACTGCATTTCTAAATTATACATAGTCGAAGCTATGGAGAAGAAGACCATACTCGGGTTTACGGGCTTACTTAACTGTTTTTTACATCATATGTCCGGATTTAACATAACCATCAAGGGACAGTGACTGGTAAAAAACGCCCACGACCTTTCCTAATAGGGATGTTGGGGAGGGGGGGGGAGCTTTTTCGCCAATGCCAATGTGAATAACTATACACATGAGGAGGGAGGAGGCGCAAAGTTCCGGGATGGTTCGCTACGCCTCTGAATAATTGTATCCAGTGTTTCTTCCAGACTTTTTTCTCCGGGGGGGGGGGGGCACTTGAAATTTTCGGGGGGGGTAAACTTTCTTCGGGGGTGGGGCGGACACTGTTAAAAGTATATATTTTCTATATAAATTATATACATTTTATTTCGTTCGGGGGGGGGGGGCGGTAAAAAATTGATGCCTGGAAGAAACTCTGATTGTATCTTATTTATTTATTTTAATTTTATAGCCCCAGTTATAGAGGAGAACCTATGCTACAGGAACGAATCCACTGCGCATGTCTTCACCTCAGCGTCCCCCAAACATACAAACCACGTGATCCTGTACAAATCTACCAGTTCCTGCCTGTGGACGGGGATCAGGTCAGCTCGACCCAGTGACCATCACGTCATCACAAACCTCCGTGCAGACACGAGCTACGTGGTGGCCCTGATGTCCACTAGCACTACAGGAGAGTTCCATATATCATCTCAACTGCTGCTCAAGGCCCTAGATCACGTGTCGTGTTTACATCCATAATTAGTGTTTCTTCCAGACTTTTTTCTCCGGGGGGGGGGGGGGGCACTTGAAATATTTTTTTTGGCGGGGGGGGGGGGGGGCGGTCGGTAGACTTTCTTTGAGGGGGGGGGGGCGGACACTGTAAAAAGTATATATTTTCTATAAAAAATTATATAAATTTCATTTCGTTCGGGGGGGGGGGGGGGGGGGCGGTAAAGAGAGAGATGCCTGGAAGAAACTCTGTCCATAATGTTTTACCTGTGAACTATTTAGAATATATTGAATTGAGATATATATATTGTAAAATAAATAATTTTCTATTTTTAGATTATTGTTGTTGTTTACATTTTCCATATAACAGTTGTTTACAATTTTGTTGTTGGAATGTGAAAATGATTCTTTTTTAGATTTAAAATGAAAAATGTATTTGACTGAATCGTCAAGACCGACATGGTGAGGACTACCTATGGAGGTGACATCAAAATAAAAAGTTGCAAGTTGGATTGAGAAAATGTTACTCTTTACAGTAAATTACATAACCCTTTATAGTAAATATCTTTACTCTTTACAGTAAATACCTTTACTCTTTACAGTAAATAACGTAACCCTTTACAGTAAATAACTAAGCTTTACAGTAAATGACTTTACTCTTTACTGTACATAACTTTACTATACAAACATATACTGTACGAAATGTAACTACACAAAACCCTACAGCAGAAACCAATTTTATTGGCTATATAGTTGAAGTAGAGTTTATCTTTACACACTAACACAACCAGCAATGTAAACTGCGGCTGATATAAATTAGGTCTCGTCTATGTGATGTGGTGATCGAGGGATAGAACCTACAATTGTCCACATTGATAGTTGCGAGTTCGGCTCCTAAAATGTCTCCAAGACTACTCAGCCCTTATGGGTACCTGGCACAGGTTGAGGAAAATATAGACTGCATACATCAGCTCTATTTCATCTACAACATGGACGTTTGATCTAAAAGGTTATTTTTTTTTAAACCATACTTCTTCACTTCAGATTAAAGTAATAACATAACTACATTGTTAGGATGTCGAAATGTAATTTTAATAATACAATTACAGAAGAATGATGCATACATATGTAAGGATGATACATAAACTTATAAATGTATAGGCAGTTTAAAAAGAAATCGTTGCATTAAAATAGTGCATATGGTGATGCAATAAATAAAAAATGTTATTAATGGTACATCTATATAATTAAATTAATTATTAGAACTAGAGACGTTTGCATACAGCTCCCATGTAGCATATAGACAAACAGCTCCCATGTAAAATATAGACACACAGTTGCTATGTAACATATAGACATACAGCTCCTATATTACATATGGACACACTACTCCCATGTAACATATAGACACACAGCTTCCATTAAACATGGACACACAGCTTCCATTAAACATGGACACACAGCTTCCATGTAACATATAGACACACAGCTTCCATGTAACATAAAGACACACATTCCCATGTAACATCAAAGCTTCCATCAAACATAGACGAACAGCTTCCAATTTATAAGGACACACAACTCTCTTGAAAAATATAGACATCAAGATCCCATGATAAGATGTAAAATCAGTACCCATTAAACAAATCAGAGGCGTAGCGACGGGGGGGGGGGGGCAGTGGGGTACATATGTCCCAGGGTGCCGACCTTAGGGGGCGCCAAAATGGGTTGTAAAAACAAATCAACATGTCATTTTAGCTGCAGTTTGAGATGGGGGGGGGGGTGCAAATCGAAAGTTTTAGGGGTGTGGGGTGCATTTTTTTTTAATTTGCTTCCGAGGGGGGCGCCTATTTGAAAGTTTGTCCCCGGGCGCCGGGAAGAGTCGCTACGCCTCTGAAACAAATACATACAGTTCCTTCTAGAAGGTTATACTGATAAATCTATCTTTAATTACATTTTTTTTAAACCAGCTTGTTTTACCACGTACAAAGACAAAATATTTTAGCTGTACAATCGTCTATCTTCTTTAGTGGGGAAAAATATTATGTCCTAGAGTTATAGGCTACATCAACGTTCCTTAGTAATGAAAAATATGCCATTGATAATTATAGAAAATACATTTCTAAAGTTTTTGAGAAATATTCCCTTGCTCTAAACATTAAATTGCCTTAATGTTGAAAAAAAAACAATTTTAATAAATATCAAATTTCCTTAGTGTAAAAAATATGCCCTTGTAATAAACATCAAATTTCCTTAATATTGAAAAGTGTTCCCTTGTTATGAATATCAAATTTCCTAAGTATTAGAAATATTCCATTGAAATGAATATCAATTTTTTGAAAACTTGCCCTTGTAAAACATCAAATTTCCTTAGTGTTGAAGAACGTGCCCCTTGTAAAACATCAAATTACCTTAGTGTTGAAGAACGTGCCCTTGTAAAACATCAATTACCTTAGTGTTGAAGAACGTGCCCTTGTAAAACATCAAATTTCCTTCGTGTTGAGAACAAGCCCTTGTAATAAACATCAAATTTCCTTAGCGTTGAAGAACATGCCCTTGTAATAAACATCAAATTTCCTTAGTGTTGAAGAACAAGCCCTTGTAATAAACATCAAATTTCCTTAGCGTTGAAAAAACAGGCCCTTGTAATAAACATCAAATTTCCTTAGTGTTGAAGAACATACTCTTGTACTAAATATCAAACTTTCTTAGTGTTGAAGAACAAGCCCTTGTAATAAACATAAAATTTCCTTAGTGTTGAAGAACACGCCCTTGTAATAAACATCAAATTTCCTTAGTGTTGAAGATGTAATAAACATCAAATTTCCTAAGTGTTGAAGAACATGCCCTTGATCTTGTCAGAGACCAGCTTGATGTACCTCAACCAGCTGTTGCCGACACCTAGCCGGTCCAGAGCCAGCTGTACTGCAGCCGTGAAGACATCTTTCACGCCCAGCTGTGTGAGGGCTGAGCACTCCACGTAGGAGTCCACACCGTAGCTGGTGGGGGGAGAGGGGAGGGGTGGGGGAGTGAAGAGATGCAAACGGTTAATATTTGAACAAAAATTAAAGATTAGCATATATATATATATATATATATATATATATATATATATATATATATATATATTTATATATTATATATATATATATATATATATATATATATATATACATATATATATATATATATATATGTATATATATATATATATATATATATATATATATATATATATATATGTGTGTGTGTGTGTATATATTTATATATATATATATATATATATATATATATATATATATATATATATAATATATATATATATATATATATATATATATATTTATATTTTATATGTGTGTGTGTGTGTGTATGTGTAGATACATAATATACCTATAACATAAATTGTCACTTCTTCAATAACTAACCCTGCCTACGCCACACTCTTTGTGTAACAAAAACAAACGTGTATTTTCCATCAAAAGTGCATAACATTTATTAGACTATAGACGTACAAAAATATATCTGTCCCAATTCTTCTAATCTACTTCACGAAGAAAAACTCAGTTTGTTTACTTCCGGTTTATTTTTTATTTTAATTAAGTTCACTGACGCGGGTCTGACGCCACTGAATTTTAACACAGTCACGACGACCTGGGGGGTAGACGCTGATCGTCTGCTTCAGCACGTCTGATAGCGCTGACAAGGCTTATGACACGGTTTTAGAGTGGGCTGAATTTAAAATCAGGATTCAATTTATTTCGTGAAAAATTTGTTTTTGTCGAATAATTTTGTTAAGACATTTTCATAAACAACTATCCGAATTTGATTTAAATGCTTCTTGACTCATAGTTTTGTTTGTCGTAAATATTTGTCTGTATGAACTACATAACCTCTAAAGATAATTTCGTAAACCTTTCTTTAAAAGAAATGCTTTGTAAATTTAAGGTAACGAAACCTTATTTTTTTTCTGAAATTTAAATGAATTAAAGTATATATAGGGAGTAGCCGTGGTCGGGTCGGTAAAGCTCATGGTTGCAATGGGTTCAAACCCCCCGGACAGATGAGGCTCGATAGCTGGGGATAGCAAACCATCAAGGCAAGACAACTCTAAAATCAAAAACAACTGCTGTTTTATTGTTTGTTCTTGGTTTGAGAAAGGATATGGAAGCAGATCCAAAAAGAAAAGCAGGCTGAAATAGGGAGTCAACAGCCTATCATGGTGCATTACCAGTAGCCACATTATACTTATTAAGTGTGTTGGAGGAAATCCCATCCAACATTACATTTAAGAACGGCGAAGAAGAAGAATTAAATTAAATTTCCTAGCAGAGACCTTCATAACATCTGAAAATCAAACTTTTATTAACATGTTCTTGTTTTGATTCAAAACAGCTTTATAATTACTAGATGACTTAAAGTAGGTTGTGTGAAATTTAAAGGCGTTAACTATTTTGGTAATTAATGATCAAATCTCAACAAAATGTTAGGTTAGTAAAAATAATTAAAGTAAGATTAGGGATTGTACTTAAAAAAAAATAAACTTTGCCATAATAAAAAAAAATAAGGTGCGATTAAGACATGTAGTTTTGAAACTGTTTAAGCTTTATAATTGGCGTTTTATTTTTCCTGATAAAATACCACACTATCCCCCTCCCCCCCCCCCCCCTTTCACACTACACACACCACCCCTCCAACCACACAGACAGACACACAGACCACGATCATCAAGTTGTTTTACCATTTGAAAATAATTTTTAACCTAACTAAATCTCCCCTGAAGTTTTCATTTGTATGTAAACTTCTAATTGTAACGTCATTTAAAATGGAGCTTTAAAATACCAGGGTATGTCTATGATGAAAATAAAAAACTATAAGTTTATGAAAAAACAACGGGGCTGCGTGGCCTAAGTGGTAGAGCGCTAGAATGCTAGCCCCTGAAGTCTTGAGTTCGAATCCGGGAACAATTCATCAACTCAAGTTAGTCAGCTCTTTAGGGTACATAACTCATGTTTGTCAGTTATTTAGGGTACCTAACTCATGTTAGCCAGGTCTGATGGGTACCTAACTCATGTTATCAAGTTATTTAGGGTACCTAACTCATGTTAGCAAGTTTTTTAGGGTACCTAACTCATGTTAGCAAGTTATTTAGGGTACCTAACTCATGTTAGCCAGGTCTGATGTTTAACTGTTGATCGCTAGGTCTAAAGAGGATTCTTTAATTTATATGAAGAAAAAACATCAATATCTAAGAAAACTTGAGATTGTCTTGAGAGCAGTGGCGTAGCGAGGTCGGGTGTCACCCGGTGCGGCACTTAATGTTGTCACCACCCCCAGAGGCGTAATGACTCTTCCCGGGGACAAACTTTCAAATTTTCGATTTGCACCCCCCCCCCCCTCAAACTTTCAATTTGCACCCCCCCCCCTCTCTCAAACTTTCGATTTGCATCCCCCCCCCTCAAACTTTCTACTCACCTGTCTGCAATTTCCTGGAAATTTTTCGGTCCTGTATGTTGACCTTGACCCCGTGGCCGGCTGTCAATCTTTGTCCGTGCCAGCACCCACTGGACCAAACGTGGCAAACATGGTCAGCTGCTCAAACAGACAGCGTCAACAATTTTATACATCATCAATTTCTTAAACATCATCAACAGATCTAACATCATTTGCTCAACCAAACATCATAAGCAGATCAAATATCATCAACTTTTCCAAACATCATCGACTACTTAAAAACATTAACAATTCAAACAAACATCATTAACTACTCAAACACACAGATCTAACATCATCAAATACTCTAACATCATCGACTGCTCAACATCATCAACTGCCCAACATCATCAACTTCTCAACATCATCAACTGCTCAACAACATCAACTGCTCAACATCATCAACTTCTCAACGTCATCAACTGCTCAACATCATCAACTGCTCAACTTCATCAACTGCTCAACATCATCAACTGCTCAACATCATCAACTGCTCAACATCATCAACTGCTCAACATCATCAACTGCTCAACAACATCAACTGCTCAAACATCACCAGCTTTTTAAATATCCCACACTCTTACTATTTACTCTGAGTGAACACCACGGCAGCAGAGTTTCTTCCAGGCATCTCTTCGGAGGGGCTTTGCCCCCCCCCCCCCCCACAAAAAATTCTACCGACCCCCCCCCCCCCGAACGAAATGAAATGTATATAATTTATATAGAAAATATATACTCTTAACAGTGTCCGCCCCCCCCCCCCCGAAGGAAAGTCTACCGCCCCCCCCCCCCCGAAAATTTTAAAATTTCAAGTGCCTCCCCCCCCCCCCCCCCCCGGGAGAAAAAAGTCTGGAAGAAACCACTGCACAACAGTGATCACGTGATTTGAACCCCATTCTTCACACTTCACGACTCACTACTCACAGTTGACTATTCACACCTAATAAATCACTTCTCACAATTGACTATTCACACCTCATACCTCACTATTCAAAGACTCACGACTCACGACTCACACACCCCTCACCTCCTGCTCCAACTGCCCGTCCCTCAGATCTGTGTCCACGCAGTAGACCACGACGTGGCTATCACTCAAAGAAAACCTGCGGCAAGTCTCGTGACCATCGTCCACCTCTAGCAGGACCTCGACCTAAATGGTCAACAGTGGGACACGCCGTTAGCATGGGGATAGCGGGCTACGGTAAATTCTGTCAGGCATTTCTTCGGGAATGGGAAGGGGGGAAGGCACCCCCCTCCCCCACCCATCACGACGAAATAGAGCATATAGAAAATGTAGTAAAGTTTTAAGTGCGCCCCCCTCCCCAGCACCTTTAAAGTAATGTCTTAAAGAAACACTAGTGGGGGATTGTCTTCCAATGAGAGTCATATTTGGTTATTTATGGTGAAAAAAGCTATCTGATAAGATCAGAGGGCGTAGCGATGGGGGGGTACATATGTCCCCGGGCGCCGACCTTAAGGGCGCCAAAATGGGTTGAAAAAAAAGTAAAAGCTCACTTTAGCTTCAGTTTTGAATTATAAATCTAAAAAATATATTGGGGGAGGAGGGGGGAAAGGCGTCAAATTGAAAGTTTGTCCCCGGGCGCCGGGAGGGGTCACTACGCCTCTGGATAAGATAAAAACAAATGTTTTGATTTCAAGAATAGACGTGGATTGGCTATGGTGTTAAAAAACGGTCAGAGACTTGTGTGTGGGGCATTTCTTTTATTTTTCTTTATTTCTTTTTTTTTTGGGAGGGGGGGGGGGGGGGGGGGTTGAAGGGTAAGTTGTGGGAAAGGGGGGGGGGATTGGGTGGGGGTAGTAGGGAGAGTGGTTGCTGAGTTGGGAGCGTATCGTCTTCGATGTTGGACTTTAGTTTGGGGGCCCCTCCAAGGTTACTATAAAACCCAGTGTTTTCTTACAGTTTATATTTCATCGATTTGGTGGGTGGGGTGGTACTTACAGTTTCGGTTGGGGGGGGAAGGGGGGGGGGCTATAAGTTTCCTGGTAAAAGACCTAGTATAGATGTACGTTTTCTTTATAAATTATTTTTCTTTTGAAAGAGATGTCTGAAAAGAACTTTGTTTAAAAAATCAAGGAGAATAGCAGCTTTTTAAATGATTCGTGATTTTTTATAAGATATATCAAAAATTGATTTTAATTGGATATTGAACAATGGTTTTTATTTAAGTTACATCTATAGTAATTGCTTTGAATATTAAAACACGATTAATTACTTTCAGAAAATATAAAATCAACGTTTATTAAACATCGAAAATACAAAGATAAAAAAAAAATTCATAGAAAAACGTTTTAATAACAA